GGTTCATCTTAGTCATCTTTAACTTCTTTTTTTGTTTGTTTGTTCAAAGTGTTTTATTTAAGTACACTACTTTGTTTGTGGACCTTCCCAGAGGCTCAAAGGTAAAGAAGCTACCTGTCAAGCAGGAGACCCGGGTACAATCCCTGGGTTGGGAAGATTCCTTGGAGAAGGGAATGGCAACCCACTTCAGTATTCTTGCCTGGGAAATCCCGTGGACAGAGGAGCCTAGCATGCTACAGTCCATGGGATCACAAAGAGTCGTACACGACTGATCAACTAACACACCAATATTAAAATCAAGGTTTTAGGATAAAATTTAGGTTTAGAAAAGATGGCCCAGTCCAGCTCCTCTCTTGGATCAAGTGGAGAGTGGCAGGCAGAGAGTAAGAGGGCTTCCTGCCTATGCAGCAGCCCAGCCTGGCTACATGTAACCAAACTGTGCCATGGCCCCACACATCTTTCCTCAGACGTGTTTCTACCCTGTTTGCATGTTTGAGAATAGCACTTGGCTGAAGCCTTCTACTTGAGAGGTAGTAGGAGGGCTGCCTACTCATATCACGCTACCTGTTGGCCCTAGGCCAATATCACAAAACAAAGCTTCTTGCAGCAACTGAGAAGAAACAATTTGCATAACTTAAAGCTATGTTAGAGTGTTGTGCTTCATGTCTGAGCAGCATAAGTCTTGAGCTTTAAATAGCCCAACCCTAACATATATTTAAAAGCAATGTTCTAAAGGTGGTGTTACATAAAGTGGAACACTTACTGACACCACAGCAAAATGCCATGTCCCCTTTCTTGCAAATTGACAAAAGCCAGCCTCAGTTAGGCAACTGGGAGGAAAACTTCTCTGTGATATGAAACCCAAAAGAGGTCAGTCCTGTTTATAATTGGAGATTCCTACAGTCTTTCACTGACCCCAAATATCTCCTTGCCTTGTCTACCTCAGTCTTGCCAATGCTCTGAAAGAGCCATCATAGAGTCACTTTTCTAGATTAGACAGTAAGAATCATAATTCCTGGAAGGACACTTAGGAATACCTAAATGTGCCACAGGTACAACTAAGGGCACAGGTCTTAGCTGATGGACAAAAGTTCTAGACAGTATCTCTTTCTTTTGGCCTTCTTTCACTAATGTAGAGACCCAGATGTGTTTTTTCATTGCTCTCTTTGATAACCTGGTAATCATTCACACAGTTATAAAGCATGAAAGATGAAACTGTATACCAGAATCATCTATGGAACTTATATAAAATATAAGTGCCTGGGGTCCACCCCAGACTTACCAAGTCAGAATTTGGAAAGTGGTAGATATTTTAACAAGTATGTTTTGAAAATGGTCCCACAGAAATTCTAATGCAATCTTCTATCTCACAACCACTGGGGACAGGATGGGATGTAGGTAAAGGTCAGGGATGGGAAAAAGATATCCTGAAGATCTGGTGACTGAAGAAATATGCCAGCTAGAAAAGATGGGTCACAAAGACTGCACCCCACAGCAGATCCCTGATAGGAAAGGAGTGCAGTCACTCAAAGGTAATCACCCTGGAAAGTGACTGAGAATTCCAGACCAGGCTGGGGAAACTCCCCCAAACAAACTACTTGAAACAAATAAGAACTTTACCCAGTGTATACTGCCATATACATTTACTTTTGTTTATGCCTTCAATATAATATTTACTAACCAATAAATGCCAGGTGCAAAGTTAGGTGCTAGAATAGAATATATAGCAAAACTAGACAAAATTCCTTACCCCATGGAGCTTCCCTTCCAACAGGGAAGGCAAAGGATTAAAGAAATGATCATGGCTAAATGTGATGAGTGGTATGACAGGGGAGCTACAGGATGCTAGAGGAATACATAGAGACGGAACTAACCTAGTCCAAGGGTTATCAAGGAGAGCTTCCGGAGAAAATGATTATTAAATGGAGACCTGAAGGATAAGTGAATATTAGCCTGATAAACAGAATAGAGGAGAAGGAAATGGCAACCCACTCCAATATTTTTGCCTGGAGAATCCCAGGGACGGTGGAGCCTAGTGGGCTGCCGTCTATGGGGTCGCACAGAGTTGGACACGACTGAAGCGACTTAGCGAACAGAGTAGAGGATGAAAATCCAGATTTATGTACAAAGCCTCATAGTTTTTTAGCCCGTCAGACATTAGAATTACCTGGGAACATTGTTTTAAACTCCCACTGCATCCCCACAAGTTTAACAATAATCTCTAGGGGTAGGACCTAGATTGGGAAGATCCCCTGGAGGATGGCATGGGAACCCACTCCAGTATTCTTGCGTGGAGAATCCCCATGGACAGAGGATCCTGGTGGGCTACAGTCCATGGGGTCGCAAAGAGTCAGACACGACTGAGTGACTAAGCACAGCACAGGTGTAGGACCCAGACGTCAATAGTTTTTAAAGCTCCCCAGGTTATCCCAGTGCACAAACAAGGAGAACCAGTGGTATAGAGACAGGATTCAGGATGCTGAAGGAAATTCAGAGCATTTAATTCAGGTGAGAAAATTGCAAGACAGATCCAGTAAGAACTGTGTTGGAATTCTCCAGAGAAAATCAGAACAGTAGGACATGCCAGATAGATAGATAAGAGGGTTTTATTGTAAGGAATTGGCTCACATGATAAATGGAGGCTGAGAATTTATTATAGATCTTACTATTTGTTGGTGGTTTAGCTACAGCCCAAGTACAGAAGAAAACTGACGTCCTAGCTCAAAAACAGGCAGAGAGAAAGTGAATTCTCCCTCACCTTTATTCTTTTCAGACCTCAGATTGGGTGAGGCACACCCACACTGGGGAGGGCAACTGCTTTATTCAGTCTACAATTCAAATATTCATCTCACTCAGAAATACCTTTGCAGACATACCCAGGATGTTTAACCAAATATCTGGGTACACTATGGCCCACTCAAGCTGACACATACAATTGGCCATCACACCATTCTTAAAGAATTCATGTTTTATCTTGAAGTCATGGGAATCTTTTAAGCAAGGGAATATGATCTGACTAGTACATTTAATATGGTCACTCTGCTGTGGTTTGAGAAAAGGAAAGAAACTAATGGTGATGAAATCATTAGGAGACTGTTGCAACAACCTAGGCAAAAGTGATGGCCACTTGAACCTGGGTGCCGACAGATAGGCTGGAGAGGATGGAGAGTTGTGAGTCCATCTAGAGAAAGGTAGAATCAGTTGGATATGGTGATTGATTGGGTATGAGAGAGGATGGAGAACAGAGTCAAGAGTGACTTCTGAGTTTTAATTTGAACAACTGGGCATATTGGAATTCTGTTTACCAAAATGAGGAATATACGAACATTCTTCCACATAGTTGCAAATTTCTGTATAAGAGATGTTCATCATCCTTCAAAGACCACCCTCTTCCAAAGAGACTTCACCTCAGCTACCCCAAGCAGATGAGCATTCTAGCTGAATTTCTCTAGACCCCAAGGAAGTCCCTTCACCTACTTCCAAGGCAACCCTAAACTGAGAAAATCTGGGGGTGAGGCTATCATTAAAATGGGGTGGGAAGTCAGATAAATATAGAATACAAGTACTTACCCTGAAGGGAAATTTTACTAAAACTTTAGAAACACAAAATTTGCCTTTTTGTTTCCAATCTATGGTTCTGCTTAGGGGCAAATGCAACAAATGTTGACCCATAAACAAGCATTAATGTCAATAGGACGCTTTCACCTGGGAGAGTTCTGGGAAATGCAGTCAGCTAGTTTACCAGCACATCATGCTTCTCACCCAGAGGCCTAGTCAGATGACTACTGAGGCCTCTCATCTCTATTATAATGATGACTTAGATTGTCTCCACACCCTCCCTAAACAAGGAGCATGGTCCTCCAAGTATAGAGAGCTGGACTACAGCTCCCGTTCTTCCACACTGAAGCTGGTGTAGGAATTTGTATTAAGAAGAGGCACAGGGCAGTGCACACTGGGAAGCACTGTGGCCCCCTGTGCCCTCACCTTGCCACAGAAAACTAAGAAGCACCGGGGTCCCCTTTGCAAACTCCTTTCATAAGAGGTTCCCATAAATCCAGTTTTGACAGTGCTTGAAAGATTCAGCGCAGGAAAATAATTGTGTTTGGTTTGGTAAAGCACTTGAAGCTATGGCTATTAACTTTTAGAATAAAACTGAACAAGTGCATCGGTTTCCTCAGGCTTCCAAAACAAATTATGGCAAACTTGGTGCCTCAAAATAGCAGATGTTTACTTGCTCACAGTCCTGAAGTCCAAAATCAAGGTATCAGCAAGATTGGCTTCTTTTAGAAACTCTGAGGGAGAATCTATCCATGCTTCTCTTCTAACTTCAGCAGTCCTTAGGGTTGCTTCTTGTATTCTGTATTTATCTGACTTCCCAGCCCATTTTAAAGATATGATGGTTTAATGATGGTTGCCAGCAGTCCTTAGGGTTCCTTGGCATGTAGATGGCTGATTCCAGTCTTTGCCTTCCTCTTCACATTTTATTCTTCTTTATATCTCTGTGTCCTCCCTTCTTCTCATAAGGACACTAATCATTGGGTTTAGGGCCAACCCTAATCCAATATGACCTCATCTTGACACTTAACTAGTTACATCCAAAAATAACCAATTTCCAAATAAGATGACATTTTGAGGTGGACATGGCTTTTTAAGGGACTGCTGCCTTTGACTGCAGCAACATAATTTTTGGTGTTACCAAATGATAGCTACAGCCATTTATATATGCAGGGCCTGAAGTTTTTCCAAAAACATGTCAATCCTATTAGTAGGTATCAAACAGGGAATTTCAAAGGGCTTATAGTCTTTATTTCTGGTACTGGAATTAAGTCAACAGCTCCCTTTACTTGCAAGCCACAATCTTAGCCCCCCTTTCCTCCTTTTTCCTAGTCTTTTTTTATGAATTAGAAACTTAACTTATTCTGCTCACAACATCCATCATCACCTTTCTTTCACTGTCCTAAATCTCAACCTCAAAGAAACAAAACTTACCTGAGGTCAAGGTCTGACCAGTTCTGAAGTAATCAAATGAAATAGATTGCCATAGTTTTCCAGTTATTGTAGCATTGAAAGAATTTGAAGGTCTTACTCTTTTTTGAAGTGAGAAGGTTTGAAGATGTGTGGTGGTCACAGAACCTCTTGAGTGAAATGGATGTTCAGGATAAAAAAGTGTGATAATCTGTTTTAGAAGCTGTGACTTTCTCGTGGTGATACTGTCAGATACAAGATAGCAGTGTTATCTGAAGCTATACTGGTTTAAGATGTTTAAATACTCTAATGTATCACAGTCTGTTTTAAACGTAATACATTAAAACACACCTCCACACAAGCCCATAAATGAAACAAAGATGTCTTAGAGGAATAGTTTAGCTGTGCTTCTTTGCAGCCTAAATGTAAACTGTCCTTTAATCTAAAAGCATTAAAATCATAATAATGAAATCTTGCCATTAAGAATCAGAAAGCACTTTTCTCTTTAAAAAGACAGATGCCGTAAAATTTAATTATTTTCTCCCTATCTGATTATCAGGCACAAATAAAGCACATTTGGGGGAAAACTACACATATGTTCACCCAATTTAAGAATGTTTTTAAGACTCTTCAAGGAGTTGTTCCCCAGCACCCACCCAAGTGGAAAAAAAGGTAATTGGTTACATATATACGCCTTGAAACAAAAGAGCCAATGTACCAACTGAATAAACAGATACAAATCAGGTGCTTAGGAAATGGTTTTGATTTCCTAAGCCTGTGCACATTCTCCCCATCTCTAAACAATGTGTGTGCATCTGACTTAGTGTGGCATCGCCTCTGACGGCTTCTTGATCCACATTTTCTTCTTCTTTAGGATAGGTAAGTAGAGATTCTTTTCTGGAGTGTGAAAGCTCGCAGCAGCAGGAACACAGCATATCTCATCTCTAATTTATGACTGACTAACTGAAACTCCGCACTGTCGGCAAACTCTGCCGTGTTTACTGGTGTGACAGCATACACACATATGGCAGAAGCCAGATGGACCTTCTCCCCCAGCTTCAAGCTAAGGGTGCTTCATTAGGAAAGAGATGCAGCCAGGCTTTGAGATCTTTGAACAAGGCTTTCCAGCACTACAGGAAGGAAATCAGTCAGCAATCCGGAAAGAAAACAACCCATCTCTAGGTGAGAGATTAGGTCAGAAGAGAATTTATAGTTGCCCTGTTGATGCCCATCAAGTTTTAAAGTACAAATGGCCTGTCCTCCAACCACAGAAATTGGGAAACTGCTTCCTAAAAAATCAGTTGAAATGAAGTTTGCATTTCATCTACCCAGACAAAGGTAAATAGGACAATAAATCCACTTCCTAAACTCTGATTTACAGTTAAGTGCTAACAGTGTCAAAAGTTTTTTTTAACCCCTTGGAAACCGGCGTTTTTTTTTGCACTTCCGGGGCTTGCGTTGAGGACCTTTCTTGTTTCATTGAATTTTTGTTCTAAGTTATAAAATAAAATATAATTCTCTAAACCGAAACTTTCATTCTAAAATTTCAAAAAAAGCAATGTTGCCTTCAGCTTACCCAACGCTACTGTGTTTTGGTTTGGATTTCTCCTTTCTTTGCGTGTGCTATATATACCTTTTCTGACTTCTTGCCTGAACTTTCTTTCTTCTCTTTATACTCTGGCCTCCAAGTTTTGGGTGTGTCTCAAGAGCAATGGACTTAGATTCCCATCAGGAGTCCTTCTTATCCATACTTGAACCATCCGGAGCAGTGGTCTCTGAAAAGTAATCTAAGATCCTCTCTCTTCCTAAAAACCCAGAAACAAGGGTTCTGGGAGTAATAAAGGGGTGACAGAAAGAATTGAGGGAGAATGGATTCTTAAATAAACTGCCCCACTATCTAAACTATCTGAACCTCTGATTCAGATAAATTCATCAACTCCTTATGTCTCAAGGCCTAGTTCCAAACAGAGAAAGGCCTAATCCCAGGGCAGTATGAGTGTGGGGGAAGAAAGAGGTTTATGGTTTGAGGAGATAATCCTTTCTCTAGGACCTTACAGATTTTAGAGGAAATCTAAATACCCCTCTCCTCCCTCCAGGGCCTCCTGTTGATAAAACTCTTGACAAAGAAAAGCAGTGAGGAGGGATCACTGGACATTGCTAAAAACTACCTCTGTATACCATACAATTAGTTCACACTGACTAGAAATCCTCTCTCTTTGAGAGGCAAAATAATTGCATATTACTGCAGAGTGGGCTATAGAAGCAACTAATAATTCTCTCAATATTCTACACAACAGTAAAAAAAAAAAAAAAAAAAATCTACTTATCAAGAACAGCCCTTTAATTGAATGTTAGAGTATATAGGGCCACTTCTAGTCTGCCTTTCTACAAAGACTAATTAGAACTAACGCTTTTTGTAGGCACATTAGGACTACAGGTTTAGTGTAAGGCATTAACCTTCTGTTTAAATGTTATTTCACAGCAATAGAGAAGCCCCTAGCGTGAGATTGTAGATAGATTTTAAACTGTTCCTTTTCCCCTCACTGGTAAACTGTGATATGATTTCAAACGTAGTGGCCGTTGTTGGTGAAACTCCATGGAACCAAAGCTCTATCATCAACCAAGCAGAAATTAAACAGAGTTCTCAGGGGCAGTACTGCTTGCAGTTCTCAGGGCACAGTATTTCATATTGGTCTAGAATATGATGCTCCTTACAGGGTTCCATACCCACCCTACCCATTGCACCTCAGAAGCACTCTGTGAAATACCCAGGAACATTGCTATTAGTCCCTTTTTACAGACAGATTGAGTTCCAGAAATGTATAGGATATGTACCCAACTGGTTAACGGTAGGGACAGAATTAAATCCCAAGTATTCTATATTCCAGAATCTAATAGTATCCTCTTAAACAGGATTTCTTCTCCTGATAAGTGAGTACAACTGCTATTTAAAGATCTAATATTCCGTTAATGGGATTAAGCAGCCTGTGGAATGGAAAACATAGGCTATATTTGATCACATTTTAGAACATCTAAATATAATAAGATAACTCAGGTAAGGGGAAGGTGAGATAAGATGAAACCAGAAGAGCCAAGTTTACCATTCAGCAAACAGGCTCCTGAATCTCTCTGTAGTTTACACCTCAGACAGCCCCAGTCCATGAGAATGGAAGTGAAAAGAAAATGCAAATTCAGCTGCATGTTACATCCACAGCAAATGCAAAGACAAATTAAGAATTAAAGACAAATGCAAATTACTCTGCTCATAAAAGAAACCTATACAAAAGCCAGGGAATGAAAAGGCTCTGACAGTTATGGATGAATCTCTGAAGAGGCACACAGCAACCATATTTCCAAATTCAAGCCTTTTAAAAACCGGTTAGAAGAATGAGAACAGCTGCTGCAAAGAAAGGGGGTAAACTTCAGTTAACAGTAAACCAAGCTACAGAGTAAAACTGAGAATCATGTCCTTATTGTCAAGGTGAGAATGAAAAGCAACAAAGGGACAAAGCCAAAGGAATTCTGTCTCCAGAAACTATGGCAGACTTTAAAAGCTAAGCCCCTGGCAAGCTTTCCGCTGGGGGAGATGGAGACGGGGAAGAGAACAAAGAAGGAGGCAAGGTGGAAGAAGACGTGGGTGTTGGAAAAGAAAGCACCACAGGACATTTTAGCAGGAAAGGTACCTAGAGGTCAGGAGCCATTCTTTAACTCAGTGACTGCCAGAACGGGTAGGTAATGCAGAGCCTGCCTGGCTATGAGCAGTGGGGACTGTGGGAAACTGGCCAAAGTTGTTCCAACTTACCCCTCTTTTAAGAAGATGTTAGACACAGATAAAGAACATGTCTGCACAACATTGGTTTGTGTTTTTTTTAATAATTGAGTCCTTTGATGCATCTTCAAATCTGTGGAATAGAATAGATGTGTTTTAAAAGTTAGGCGATAAATCAATGAACCCATTTAACACATAAAGAAACTAAGACTCTAAATGATTAAGAGGCTGTCATGAATTCACTCAATTAGATAAAAGAAGTTATCACTAGAGCCAAATCCCTGGCCCCTAATCCAGCACTCCCTTATCTATGGCATAAGCCTCTGCAAGAAGAAGAAGAAAATAAATATATTCACCATGGTGTGGAAAGAGGAAGGCACACAGTTGTCTGCAGTGGCACCAGTTGTCATTCCCGCCACAGACTGCCACCTCTGAGCTAGCAGAAGCATTCAAGCTCTGGTTTTTGGTCAAAACCAAAGATTTGCAGGGCGCAAGGAGGCAACATAGAGAGCAAAGTGGGCCTCAGGCAACCTGTGCCATACTGGAAAGTGTGTGCCCCAGAGAAGGGGCACCCTCTACCCAATTCCACCCAATCAAGAAATTGTGATTGTGGCTAGTCCTTTTAGAACCTATAATTTTTTCAAGAGAGTCATAAATCTGCATTTTTATTTGAAACATCCTCATTTTAAGATTTTACACCCAGTTATTTCTAAACACAGTGAGAGTCAAACAGAGTACAACTTTCAAGTCACAGGCAGCCTGAGCATGGCCAGATGCAACCTGTGACTATAGTGATAGCAGTCATTTTAAGACAAGGTGCAGTGTCTCAGTTCTAAAACATCACAACACTTCAGCTCTGTAGAAGCTCTCAGTATAAAAATGTCTACTTTTTATTAAAAGATCATATATATGAAACCTGCATTTTTGGTTGAAGCAAATGCCTTCAGTGAAGCCTTAGCATCTATATACTTGTCTATCACATTTCCTGGAGGTTCATATTTTCTGTATCCCTGGGTGGCATTAACTTGTGTTTGCTTTTCTTATCTACCTGAAGTTAGTCAGGTTGTCAAAATGAGACTGTGGCTTCCTCCTTCCAAGAATTTGTAAAATATCGGCCCTCACAAGGCAACTCGTTCAGCCAAGTTCAAGCCCCTAGTGGTTACACAAGCAAGAAAATAGAAAGTTGAGTCCAGTCTTTGTAAAAGTGCAACTTTTATTTAATAAGATTGAAAATGAAAACTTGTTGTAGTTATTATGACACAGGGAAAGAATTTCAAACTTTCCATCCAACAGATAGCAACTTTTCTTTTAGGGTTGGTAGTTTATTTGACTTAGGGGAAATTTTTTCTCTTTTGAAACTATTAGAAGACCAATTTCAGGATTTATCCAAGAAACAGAATTCGAATTATTTATGAGACAATCAGCCTCTGAAGAATGACATCCATACAATAAACTTAGCCTTCTGAGAGGAAAGGCTGCAATTTAAAACCTGTTGGAATGCAGCTTAGTGCCTGTTCTTTTTTCCTCACAAAATCCTGGGCTGTAGAAAATAAAAGTGGTAAATGTTATATAAATAGTGCATGACATTTGCAAAGGTTAAGAAGAGTCTCTTTACTCCTTTTCTTCTTTTCCCAAGTATTATATTTGAGCAGTGAACCCCAAGGTTTCAGTATTCAGGTACAAGCCTGCAGGTCAGATTACTGGCGATACTGAGGTAGATCCCTGTTTGTTCCTTGGAAGAAAGCAAAGCCTCACCAAGTAAGATTTTGCACAAATGTCGCCCTAGCAAGGGGTGATGTGGCATTCCTCCAAGGGGTCTCAGTGCTGCTGAATTTGCACAAGGCAAACTTGGCTTTGTCTTTAGTTTCCATAACGAATACAGGCACAGTTTAGAGGCTCTGCTTTACAAAACAAGCCTCATTCCATCTATTTGTAGTAAGTCTCTGATTTTTTTTCCCCTTTAATCCTCCTTTTCAAGTGCCTAAACAAAGACGTAGGGTGTTTCTGCTACCAAATCTGTGAAAAACATTCAGTGTCCAGGATATCTGACCAGTTAAGGTGTTGGGTTTTCTAAGCCATAAACAAGAACTAAAGTTGGAACTAGAGACCCATCCAAGAGGCCATATGAGTCCTACCCTGCCTCTAGGCCAAGCGGAATTTAAGCCTGAAAAAAAACTTTGAAGTCTGCAGGGAATAAGGATCTAACAGTTCCTTCCTTAGGGACCCATCAGTGGCTCCTCAAACTTTGGCGGAGGAAATCCTCCCTAATATCTAGTTTACTTCAGTTTGCTCTCTGCGTCTTCCCCAGAAAGGGTCAGCCTCCCTCTCAGTGGAGAGGGAACACCAGACTTTCTGAACTGCATCCACATTCATGCAGAAGTATGGATTTGGGGTTCCAGGAGATTGCTTGACCAAGATGTAACAATTGTCCATAATAAATCACTCATGAGTCCTCGCTATGTAGTGGTTTTTGTGAATTAACTGGGAACTCAGAGTCCAGTTCTCCAATGGAAGCAGGCCTTTGTAAGCAAGGTTTCTTCTCTGGCTCACAAATATTTACACAGCTCATTTATCCCACATATACCCTCCGATAGGACACATGCACATCTCAGGGTTGGTAGGTAATTGTGAATACCTGAATATTGATTGACAAATGGCTGTTGACAGGTTGGTTTCATGGAAAGCCATCTGGCTCTTTCTGAGTCTTTGGTTAACCTTGAACAGTTCCCTCACCCCTTGCCCTCACTCTCCTTTGCCCACTTAGCGCATCCCTTACTGTACTAGCCTCTGGACTTTAGCCAGCCTTGCCGTACCTTCCACTGTGGCTCACTTTGGGTCCTCTGGTGCTTTGGTTGGTCCTATCTGCTACTCTGATTGCTGGTCCAAGGTCCTATTTCAGCTGTGCCCCAAACTATCTTCTCCTATTCTGCTTCCTAGTCTTTGAAAACCTATTCAGAGATGAACCAGAGCCAATTATCATACCTCGCAGTAAAGATGGTCAGGGCCACCCAGGGTCCAAGACTCTGGGTCTATAGATAGTGAATTGTATGGACACAGGAAGCTGTATTTGGAAGCTACTATATGCTTGATAGTAACTAGAGTCTGTTTGGGCCATTTAGATTTGGTCATGAAGGATGCAGGCTCCCTACCCTAAGTCCCTACCCTCAGCTTTATCACCTGGATGTCACTGAGTGGTGGGTTCTACAACATGGGATACTGTGGCTGACTGACTCTTAGATAACATATAGTTGCACAAGCAGAGCAAGAAGGAAAAAGAAAATCCAGAGAGCTGAGGAGCACGGCATCTTTATTTGCAAATTCTTTTGGCCGATGGTACTGAAAACTGAGGGTTTTTTCTTGAAAACAAATAAATATGGAAATAAAGAGCTAGCCCCTCCGTGTGTGTGAAGTTTTTTCCGCTTTCTTCCCCAGTGTACCTGGCCACAGCCTTCCATAAGCCCTTGTCCCTTACTCTAGATCTGGCATGTGCCTGCTCCATTGTCTGGTTTAGTTCTAGACTAATTGGATTCACTATGTGGATTTCACTTTCATTTTTTCAGTAATTTTTTTTACAATTACAAAAATAGATATGGTACTGATTGATGGAAAAGTACAGACATGCTCAAAGAAAAAATTAAATCACCCATAATTCTATCACTTGGAGATAACCATTAAAAAACACTTTAGTTCATTTCTGTTCCGTTTTTTTTTTTCCCTGAGCATACTTACACGTACTACAACTGTTTATAGAACAAGATTGCACTGTGTATATTTATTTATAACTTACTTTTTACATGTATTTGTTCATTGGATAATACTAATTCCTAGTGAGTCTTTTTTTAAAGAATGAACAAGGAAGTAATGTTAAGACAGAAGCCAGAACAGTCATGTTCTCAAAGAAACCTAGAAAGTCACTCTTCAGAAAGAGAGAGAAACACAAATAAGCAGATGAGCAGGAAGAGGTCATGAGATTCTAGAGAACTGGAGAAAGTAACTTCCATTCTTTATGATTGCCTACTTGGAGTTCCAGTATCTTATGAATCCCAACTGACTTCCTCCCTTTGGGCTCAATGCTTTTGCCTTGTATCTCCCTAATAAATTTCTCCAGTTTTTCTTAAGACTGTTTGAATGGGTTCTGTTTCTTACAGACAAAAAAAAAAATTCCTAACCGTGGCAAATACCTGAAATACACTAGAGAAGATGCAGGTATAAGAAGGCAGATGGATAATGGCTTAAGTAAACAAGTGATTTTCGTCTTGAAGGTAGAACTTCCCCCCAAAGAGCCAATTCTATTCTTTCTGAAGCTTCTGTGCCATGTTACTACTTCTGATCCTCAGATGTGTAGATGAGAGATTTTATTTAACATACTATGACAGCCTGTCAAAAAGAATGACTGTAGTGTACCGTGTGGACTGAGCATCATGATTTGTTTCTCCCTAGAGTTGGATAGTTGCCTTGTTTGTTCCTGTTGTCACTGGGACTAGGTACAATGATAAACGAAATCAGCATCCAAACTGGGATTGTTCAGCGGTCCTTATTATCACACGTTCATGTTATTAGCAAGCCTGTAGAACTCTGCAGCAGAGTTTCACCAGGGTAGGGTAGCTTTCTGTCAGTGAGACCCTATGAGCGCTCAAAGGTCCTTTCTAAATATACATTTAGTGCAGCTCCTTGGAACTTCTGTCTGCTAGATTGGATGCTGTCTGATGCATGAATCACTGAATAAAGCCAATGTGGTTTTTTTAATTTTAAAAAAAATAGTACAGCCCAGGGCACTGGTGGAGTTCATATGGAATTCTGATGAAGAGTCTCTCTTAGGTATCCTGTGACCTAGGTTCACAGATACATTGTACTTGATACTTTTTACTCCATTGAGTTTTGTACAAACCCATCCTTTATTCAGATAGCACCATCTCAGAGAGTCCTTCCCTAATCTCTCTGTATAAAAAAGCACTTCTCTCCCTCACCTGCCTCCTCTTTCTCTTCCTTTCTCTCTTTTTAATATCACTTAGTACCAGCTGACATAATAATACTCTATGTACTGGTTGTCAGTCTATCCCAAATGGATTTCAGTTTCTTGAGGACAGGGACTCTACCTGATTTACTATTGATTGTACCATAGAGCCAGGCGCATAATAGACCCTTATTAAATATTTGTTGAATGAGTGAACTCCTAGACATAGCAGCCTCAATCTTGTCAGGGATTAAATTCCTGACAGAATGGGATGCCATAGTGTTTTCCTTTCCTCAAATTATACAAATTCCTACATAGATTTGGGCAAATCCAAAGGTTTTCCCACCTCTTTTCAGACTCTTTAAAGATCCAAAGAACTCTTTGGATCACTGAGCTTCCTCTCTTTTTAGCCTTAGCTCTTAAACACTATAGCCAGCTGTTTCTTCTAAATTAAAAATGGAAGGAGGCAGCACGTGGGTTTCATTTCCATAATGCCATAATTCCCAGCCCTGGGACACCTCCTACCACAAAGTGCCTCTAATTACCACAAGGGAACATCATTAAAACTTCAGAGAAAGAATCAGTTTAATTCATTTGAAGTTTTAAATAAACATCGGCCACATGTGACAAAATCAAACAAACAACCATGCAAGTATTAAAATGGTAAAAATCCTAGGAGCCCTCCTCTAATGGATTTCAGGGGTGAGATCCACAATTCTAAGCTGCAGTTAGTGTGATATATGTCTACTATACATTTCCAAAATGACTCACCTTTGAATTTTCTCTAATTTACACACTTCACCTACTCTCCTTCCAAATTACCAGGTCAAAAAATGCCTCTCATTTTCCTCTGTTAATATGCTGCTTTGCCCATTAAGCTTCACATATTAAGTTTTAGCTTATCGGCTTCAGTGACACTCAATGATCCCAAAGCAGGGTGGAATAAAATATGTGTTTTTCCTAGGTACCTTCATGCCTGGATTGCAGTTTCTAATCTCTGAACTATTGCTTGCTCTACATCTTTGTCTTGTGGAAGAGCTATTGATCTGTAATCACACCATTGCATTTTCCTCATGCTCATAAAATCCCAGGGATGTTCTAATTAAGGATAGGCTCTGGCTACAAATGACAGAAAAGGCAGCACCGAGGTATTCAAATAGAATTCAGACCTTTGGTCGTTCACACCCTG